GGGGGGGGGGGGGGGGGGGGGGGGGGGGGGGGGGGGGGGGGGGGGGGGGGTGAGAATGTGGAGGGCACAGCATTCAAGCATCAATATAACAGGCTGTCGACTACACAGACAATTTTTGTTGCTCTACCTCCCTCTGTCAGGATTGGGTAATTTACGAGCCTGATGTCTTCCTTGGATGTGCTGAATAGCCGTCTGATGTATAACAACAAACGAGGCAGCAGGGAAGACGAGAGGCAACATCTATCCGGTCTAGCTATGAACTCTGAGTGAATTAACACATGTGGTGTAGGTGGCCAGAAAAGAAATAAGCTAAAATCGAGTTTCTCCCTCTCCCACCTTCCGGAATGGTGACTCCGCCTCTACCCTGCATGGGGGGCGCCGTAGCCAGCCGAGCGGGTCCACGGTAGGTGCCACAGCAGCAAACGTGACACGCGGAAAGCAACAAGGAAATATGCAGAGAAGGCAGTACCGGAAATATCAAGTCATCGTCTCGGCCGGGCGATCAATGAAAGGAAATCATGCGTATGCTTCGCTAAAAGCATTCAAGTAGCGCGCAGCAGCGCGCAGCAGCGCGCAGCACACCCAACCACTACCTTTTCTTTTTCAAGTATCGACGCATGGGGAGCCAAGCGAGTCTGCCCTACGCCTTAAAAAGTGGCGTTGATACCGAAACAAGACTTGAACGCAAGGACAACATGCAGCAGCCGTCGTTGCACTACTGAAAACGTGTGGGCGAACGTACACGTATGCGGACGAATTTTACAGCTCGATCGCTCCTACAAGCAAGAAACTGCCAACGCCGAAAAGGGCGGCTTGGGAACCTCTCGTTGAGAGCTATCTTGTGTCTTTCCTTGCACATGTCGGTTGGGTTTCGATAGTACCCTCTTGACTTTGCGACGCAATCTCTTTGACAGTGTCAATTGCATTCGTGTGCATGCACCACAAGGAACGCTGGCAGAAGTAGTGGCGTCGCCGCTCGTCATTCGCGCCGCGTTAGCGCAGCATACTGTCTCATCGCTGCTGTGCAGTTCGCCCGAGGTTGTTGCTACACCTCGTAGTACATACTTCTACTATATTGACTGCTGCTGTACAAATATATGATATATACTTCTTTGTTTATCTTCCGGGACATAACCAGACCAAAATCCTGGCCACCGTAACGCCACCAACCCTACATCCTCAATCTCTCTGGACAAGTACTCATGCCACAACTGCTGTGGTTGAACAAATGAGATTCATGTACATACGCAGGCGTGCACACGAACAACTAAACAACGGGGTCGCTTGTGTGGTGTTTGTGTGTGCGTCCCCGTGAGCACGGTTTATTGAAGTGCACGGGCCACTCGTAGGGTATAAGAAGGTTGACAGCAGTTGGTCGCGGTGCGGCCGACAGAACGGGTTAGGTAGGTTTGCGGACCTTGCAGGAGACACGTTCGCATTTTGTTTAGAATGGAGCGATCAGTGAAGGAACTTGGAGATAAAGACCGACAACAGGCCGGCACTGCTGGACACCGCAGCACCATGGCTCACATGTACCGAAAGAGGCGGAGAGATGGCACCCCGCCTAGACCGACCTTCAAGGCTCGATTACTCCACGACCAAGATTGTCTGTACCGTACCGTATACCGTACCGTGGTTTTCCGTAAGAGGCGGAGAGATGGCACCCCGCCTAGACCGACCTTCAAGGCTCGATTACTCCACGACCAAGATTGTCTGTACCGTACCGTATACCGTACCGTGGTTTTCCGTAAGAGGCGGGGAGATGACACCCCCCCAGACCGATTTTCAAAGCTCGATCGCTCCACAACCAAGATTGTCGGTACCGTACCGTATACCGTGCCATGGTATTCCGTAAGAGGCGGAGAGATGGCACCCCGCCTAGACCGATTTATAAAGTACAGTTGCTTCACAACCCAAGCCTGTGCTAACACCAATAACGCCGGTGGCTTTTGGAAGCATCTCCTCGGCGACTTTCCGTTACGCATCGGGCTCTTTCCGCACTCACTTGGTTGTGCAATCATCTTCACATCTCGAACGGGTAACAGTATTATATTGTTTTTTGTCAGGATGACCCAACGAATCCGTCTCTATCGAAGAAAGGAGTCTTTGTTTTCGTAGTTCTCCTAAAATAAATGGAGGTTGACCGTCTGTCTACAGGGGGGTGCCGTCTTTCCGCCTCTTGCGGTACAGGCTCAACAAAACTCCGATTTGAACGCACATCATCCCACTATCCATACTGGAAAATCTCTGTGCCTCGCTCTTCCTGTTCGCCAGGTACGTGACAATGATGCTGCATCCGCCCCGTCCTAGGAGGTGAACCGGCCCGCCCAGCACACCCTGCTCTCTGCTCCCTGTACATGTACACTTTCATCTACTGCTGTACATGGACTACATGAAAACGGAGCTAGGCTACAAGTACCCTTACAAGCATTTCCTTCGTCAGACGTAAGAGCGAGTCCGCGTGTTGGGACCGCTTGGCTTTGTAGAGGACGTATGCAGCATAAGGTCCCGTGCCCGGCGGAGCGTAAGAGCGAGTAGTCAGATGTTTCAAGGGTACGGCGGTGAATGGTAGCAAGAGAAAGATCGATTCGTGTGTTATGTCGGGCATTTGTCGTGTGCGGGTGATCATGAACAGCACGTGATGTCATGATGCACGCAGAACGAACCTGAACCTGACTGTTTACAACCTTGCGCTGCCTGGTGCCAGAGAGAGTCCGACCGAAAACACGCCGACGTACCTAAGCCGCAGCTTGGTTCTCCTAGCCTCCTCGTCCGTTTGCTGCATCGTTAGACCTCTCGCTGCGCGTCGTGTGCTCCTGCTGCTGCTCGGCCACAACGCCGCCGACGCAGAGGTCTTACCAGAAGAGGTCTCACAGACAACGTCATGATCCCCCGTCCATCGCGATCCTCCAATCGTCCTGGCTTGCGGCCGAAATCCAAGGGCTCCGCCGCATGAGCAGGCCAGGAGGCAGAGGGTCACGAGAGCACGCGAGGCCACCATGTTCCCTTCTTGTTGCGCGGCGAGAGAGCGATGGACCGCGTGGTGGGTCGTGTGTCCTGTGTGAAAGGGGAATGACGGGGACAGGGGGCTTATTCTCAGCGGGTACCCTCACGCCGGAACCAAAGTTCGCGGTTGACGAACCCCCGCTGTCGGTTCGTTTGGATTCTGGCACACCGACCTGCTGTCACAAGAGGATTGGTCGGCAAGAGGAACATTGGCTGGTTGCTCCAGCAGCGTAGAGAAGGGGTAACCTTAGACGTGCAAGATAGGGTTTCAGGTACAGTCCGGTCTCCTGGTATTGTTGCCTAGGACATCCCGAAACTCCAAGAAGCTATAGGCCGCTGTCGCAGAGCGAATGCTTGGGTTTGCTCGAGGCCGACTGCATACGGCATCTCTCTGTTTTACCCCTGCCAGCAGCAGTGAGTGCAAGGAGGGGACATGGCGTCTTCGGTGAACGCGAACGCCGTGCTTTGCGTCAAGGGCGAGATCCACAACGTGCTGACGGTGCTACGACTCAACTCGAGGTGGGCGAGCAGGGAGCGTTTTACCAGAGAGATCCCGCTGCAGGCCGAGAGCCCCCTCGCGAGGGCCTTCAAGGGCCTGCACAGCCACCTGGAGGAAGTTGACGACCTTGCCAACGTCGATACTGTCCGGTGAGAAGCGAAGCGAAGCGTGCTTGTATCATGCGTGTGATACTACTGCGCATTTCTTGTCTTGATTGTGCGTGAAGGACATTGGTGCCTCTACTGCTACATATGTATACCATAGGTTCTCTGCTGCGCGTATGCATGTACGCGGAGAGATTTTGAACATGATGCGGTCTCTCAGAGCACCGTACGACGCCGCGCACACAGAGCGGAGGCAGAGGTGACCTTCCTCGTCCGCCATGTCGTAACATTCCCGATGACCCGTTCCCACCTATGGGGTATGCTTTGTTCTTGCACTGAGTGTGCATCGGTGGTAGAGATAGGGAGGGGTAGGCGTCGAGTATGTGTGTGGAGAAAGGTTGGACGGGGGGATGTCCACGCGGCCGTAGATGGTCAACCGCTGGGAGATGTGCGATGTGTGCATGTGCGCATCAGAGCGAATGGTGCCGGCGGGCAGATGAAGCCGTTGTCCCCGCATTTGCTTTTGTCATATTCAAAACGCGCACCTTGACAACGAGACAGACAACTCTTGAATACGTTTTTGGAAGTGAAGAACTTAGGCTGCATGATGTAAGATAACACCTCCCCTGAACCTATCTTCTGAATATTCCTTCAAGACGAAGAGGAAGCCACAACAAAACGAAAGTTTTCGGAAAGCTCTCGACAATACGCTCCCAACACCGCCATTTTCGGCACCGTCACTATTTTTGCTGCTGAGTAATGGTCGCTTTCAAGGGGTCCAGGGATGTGGTATCTTTTGCTACCGAAGTGCTATATTACTTGATGATATCTAGTTAATTACCCCGTTCGAAGGAGTTTTTTGTTGAGTCTTTAACACAGGTTAGGGGTGTCAATCGGGCAGATTTTGGAGCCAAAAATGTGGCCGGTCTATTCATCGATTTTTGGGGGGGGGCAGACGGGTTGGGTTATTTTTCGGCTCTTGATAGTGCCCGCCTATTATACTGATTAATCACTTCATCACTCAGTTTGTTTGTGCAGGTAGTTCTGCGCCCAGGCAGCGGCGTGGCTCTTCATACGTTGCACACTTCTGGACACAATTCAAATAGAGGCGACTGTAAGCTCGTTTATCTCTTAAAGTTAAAGGGCGGACGTACAGCACCAATAAACATGTTTTTTTTAGCTCTTTGCTCCACGCCCAAGGTGACCTTTGCTCCCCTCGAAAAAGCGAGCTTACGGCCCTCTACCTTGGGTTTACAGCTATACCACACAACAAACCGCATCCGAATCGCATCAGCCAACCACGAGATCTACATGTCTGAAAACGGCCCCTCCAGTGAGGCTGCAGCGCCCACACCAGCAGACCCTCCCAAAAAAAAAATCGAGGTCCGCGCCGTTCGGCAGCAGGAGGCGCGCTGCGCGAAAGCTGAATCAAAACAAGACGAAGGTTGAAGAGAGGACGGTGCAGTGTATAGTTGCCGCGTCAGCAGAAGATAACACGCGGCGCGCTATCGAATGCGGCAGCCTCGCCGTCGTAGAGAGAACGCTGGAGGAAACGAAGGAGGAGTTGGTCAAAAGTAAGAAAATTGTGGAAGAGAGCCAGGCTAGCTGCAGCATGGCGATGGATTTCGCGCGCTGCTGCTGCTGCTGCTGTTTTTTTCAGCAGCAGCAGCGGCGGCGGCANGACGAAGGTTGAAGAGAGGACGGTGCAGTGTATAGTTGCCGCGTCAGCAGAAGATAACACGCGGCGCGCTATCGAATGCGGCAGCCTCGCCGTCGTAGAGAGAACGCTGGAGGAAACGAAGGAGGAGTTGGTCAAAAGTAAGAAAATTGTGGAAGAGAGCCAGGCTAGCTGCAGCATGGCGATGGATTTCGCGCGCTGCTGCTGCTGCTGCTGTTTTTTTCAGCAGCAGCAGCGGCGGCGGCAGGTGTCTGCGTGGCTTCACCGCCCGGCTGCTGCTCGGGTGTGTCATGAGGCATGTGTTCTAGAGTGGGACCGCGCAAAGGTGTTGTGTTGTGTCCCACAGCAGGGCACATCAGAGCACACACACGAGCGGCGCCCTCGCGCGTGCGCGTCAGGTGTTTTTAGGGAGCTTTCGAACCGTTCCGTGCAATTTCATTGGTCAGTCGATTTTCCATCAGGAAGATCCGAGGTCAGTTTTTTCAATTATTTTCCTATAGGAAATTTGCTGCTTTGACACCCCTATATAATAACAGTAGTCAGGGTTGAGGGACACCTGCTGGACAATGGGCTTAGTTGAGCTATTCTTTGCCAAAGCTGTAAGAACAGAACTGCAGCACGTACATCTCCCGTCCCCCTGACGTTGGGCCCACGACTGTTGCGTGATCAAGCTTTGGGCCTTTTTCCACCCGCCCGGACCCATATTGCGTTCTCCTTTCATGCTAGTATCAACTGAGGAGGTTAGGAATTCTGTGCCGTAAGAGCGAGGTACCTGTACCGCCTGTCCAACCATGCAGCAGCACGCAACATCACTTCAGGGCTCAATATCGCGTCCCACGCGTGCTCCTTGTGTATGTCTGACCGTCCGCCTACAGTTACCTCCTTCCGTTCCTGGCGGTGGTGGAGTCGCCGGCCACGACCGGGCCAATGACAGGCGTGGCGCTGAGCTCGCTGCACAAGTTCCTCCTGTACGGCTTCATCCGCAAGGACTGCCCTCGCGTGAAGGAAGGGATAACCCTCGTGGCACAGGTGATGATGCGCCATCCGTTTTTATCTCGGCGACGACGAACCCCACCCGCGCCTCGACCTCGATTCGTAAACGCACGCTTCGCGCGTGACCGGTGTGAATGAACATCCTATGGCAGTGGTCCTGTGAGCTCTGGTCTCATCCATCCATGCCTTTTGCTTGTCCCCGCTTTTCTTACCGATGTTTTTCTCGTCCATACCGCCCCCTTTGCTTAAGAAACGCTCTTGTTGCTTTTCGTGCTACCCCTGCGGTGTGTGCAGGCCATCAGCAGATGCCACTTCGAGGAGACGGACCCAGAGAGTGACGAGCTGGTGCTGATGAAGGTGGGTCCACAACCGCAAAGGCCTCGCTCGCACAACAGAGAGCCCCCTTCACACACATGTCTAGTATGATTCATGATTCATTCTTACCTGACATGCAAGGGTAGAACTGAACTACCACCCACGTGAATATCGCCCTGTGTGGTGATTCTCGGAGTCTCGCCATGTGAACCGTCTTGATGCACTAAACACACAAATGCTCATAATCATTACAGTATCCTGCCGGAGCCCTTGTTTCCGGGACAAAAATCGAGTCTCGTTTCTTGTTGTTTTTTTCTCTGGGACGGGCTTTGTGTTCGGCAGCTCTTGGAGCTCTCCGCGCTGTGCCTGAGGTGCGAAGTGGGAGACTTGCTGACCGACGAGAGCTGCTGGAACATCTTCGTGGCGTGCTACAACCTCTACCACATCACCACGAACGACAAGTCATTCGGGCTCCTCCGGGACACCGCGGGCAACACCCTGGCGCACATCGTGCTGATGCTGTTCAGCCACCCGCGGGTGTCTCGAGCGAGCAAGTCGGCGGCGCCCGGCGGGGCATTAAGGGCTGACGCAACAGTAGCGGCGGGCAAAGCCGTCCTCCACGAAACACAGGGTCAGAAAGCGGGAGAAGAGCCGCGGGACTTTCCACCGATGGACCAATCAAAAGCACCCCCAACGCCGGGCGGCGATGGAGACGGGCTGGCGCAGGGTAGCCCCCCCTCCCCCGCCGCCGCCGGGCTGTGGCGTCACGGGTCGTCGAAGGCGGGCGACGAGGAGGGCAGCAGCAGCGGTGGCAAACAAACGCCGTTCGGGCGGGGAGGGGGCGTGCCGCCGCCGCTAGAAGGGGGACAGGAGGAGGAGCCGTGGCCCTCCCTCGACGGAGCCAACGATGATGGCGCCAGCCAAGGGGTCGATGACGGTATCGTTGTCGCCGGGCGGGGAGCATTGAAGGCAATGATGGGCCCCGGTAACGGTAGGTTCGGGCTTGGCGGGGTCGGAGGGCCCGTGTCCCCGGTGCAGCCGACGAAGCACGGCGGCGGGAGAGATAGCGACGCCGCGGAGCAGGAGGGGGTCTTGGTCAAGCTGATGCGGTTCCTGTCGCTGCTGAGCGACCCCCGCTCGAACGGGAGCGCGGAGTGCGTGCTCAGCCTGAGCTTGATCAACATCGCGCTCGAGGCGGGGGGCGCGGACCTTGGAAGGATACCGTCCCTCGTGAGGGTCATGCGGGGGGACCTGTGTAAGCACCTGCTGCAGAACAGCCAGACGGATGACCTGGACGTGCTGAGCCTTACGCTGAGGGTGGTGTTCAACCTGTTCAACTCCATCAAGGACCACCTCAAGGTCCAGCTTGAGGTTTTTCTCACCAGGTATGGGCGTTTTGACACAACTGGGGTTGTGAAGAAGTAAGAGCATGCG